CCAGTTTTCAAAAAGGGCAAACACGACGATTACTCCAACTATCCACCAATCACTCTGCTTTCTAGTATTGATAAAATAGTTGAAAAAGTCGGCCGGTGCAGCAGATTCATATTTTTTACCGAAAGCACGAAGTCATAAACCAAAACCAGTATGGAGACCTTGATCAAATATATATGGGACAACATGTGAAGCACCAGCTTTCAAATAAAAAAAGAATCATCGAAATTGGTTCACCCAAAAAAAAGTTATGAGGTAACACACAAAAAATGCAGTCGAATTCAGTACCTCCTCATGTTTGAAGTCGGTAGAAAATCAAAAATAAGCAGCCAACAACCTTCTAGGTTAACCTGGGAGATGTCAGTCTAACGAAACTAAACTGCCCAGAAAAACAGACTTTTCAACTGATATTTAAAAACAAAAAGTTTGTTTCATTACCTATAGTACCTAGGTACTGTTTTCTCGCAAATGTGTTGAAAAACGTTGTATGACACATGTGCGTAAATTGGACTTACATTCCTCTACTCGTTTGTAAAAACCAACTTTCCACATAGTATTATATATGCCTAACAGTTTTTCTGTGTATTAGCACAGCAGAATCAGTTAAAAAATATTGGTAAATCCAATTGTGCATACCCTAAGGCCATTACAAAAATTACGTATAACATGATTATACGTAAATATTTCAAAGTAGTTTAAATACACACAAGTTTTCATTAAACACATTATTATACTTCCAATTTTCCAATAATTATATCAAACTTCAATTCAAAAAATAGTTTGGAAAATCCAAAAGTGCACGACTCATAATGCTCATATAATCATCATGTCATCATTTAGGTCACTCCATAAAGTCCAAGACGTATTTAAGTATAAATATACTTAAATAGGTATATACATATTTTGCACGTCGTACAGCCATGCTGCAGCTATATTTCGGGTATAGTTGTAGCACGAATGAGTCGGCTCGACCGGGGAAGGACCACGCTCTCACAGAATACCGTAAAATAGCAGCTTAATGCTGCTGTGTTTCGTATGGTGAGTGTAGAGAACCGGAGACCCTTTTTACTGGAAAAGAGGCATTCCATCTTAGTCCTCACGGGTTACAACGCTATGCATTTTGATTCGCAAACGAGGATAAATGTAGATGTCTATGGGCCACAGATACCACTTACCATCAGGTGGACTGTGTGCTCGTTTGTCACCCTATCCTATAAGAAAAAAAAAGAATACATCCTACTTGTAGTACGTAGTACTATTATTTATTCTGTGCTTTTAAAATATTGTAATAAACATCTCTGATTATTATAATAATCAAGTATGTATGAAATTTGGTTTTTCGAATATTTTGTATTTGTTCAGCGATCTTTTTGAGCCGCTGCAAACATCCGATACAGTATCCACTCAAGACAGCGGTTGACACCGAAGTGCGTGAGTGAGGCAGTCTATTTAGTAAGATAAATTATTGCAAGGCTGTTAAAACACCGAAAATTGCCGGATTTCTACGCCGAAAAGAATTAATTATAACTAAACAAAAGAAAATTAAACTGCCATTTACATTCCATGGCGTCCCTGGTGGCAAGGCATCACAGATGAAGAAATTAAAAAATTGAGTTAAACAATTGATATTTTCAAAAAATTAACGTGTTTTGGTTCCATGCGGACTTGATAAATCTACACCATAAGAGCCACAAAAACCACTTTTTTATGTAAAAATAGCAATTAATCGATTTAAAAAAAAGTTCAACAATAATTTATCCTATAACGGTACTTGGCACGACCCGGGATTCAAACCCAGGACCAAATCATGATCCACAGTCGCGCTAGTAACCACATACAGGCAGACAAAATTGTAATTTTTTTTTTATATTATATACTTTCATGATATGTATTTAGTAAAAATCTGTTATTTTGACGTTACGAACACACTTAAATTTTATTTATTTGAATAGTTTCATATTCGTAAAGTATGAAAGTTTGAAAGATTTTCGAAAGTGATTACTGATTACTGATTACTGTGTGATTAATGATTTTGATCTTTAAGGCGTCAGAAAACTTGGCTGCACTCTTAATAATTGTCTTTTATAATTCAATACAAGATCGTAGATATCAGTAGATATGATTTATACTGATGATTTAGTTAATTGGTTACCTTGCACTCTATTTAGAAAAGCTATTATTTTTAGTAGCATTTTGTACGTATACAACATGATAAGATTTGCTCCAATTCCTCATTAGTGAAATGTGAAAAATGGTAATTTCTTTTGTTAGAATTCTCTGAACATAACAAACAATTTTTTATCGTGTTTAGACATGACTTCTAGTTAAATTTTACACCTCAGAAGTGGTCATTATTGATTTTTGCAAAGACGGAGATAGAGGTTGGTCCTAATCACGAGCTTCTGAATTTTAAAAAAGCTGGTAATCTGCCTCACTTTAGTCCTAAAACGAACAAAAATAATATAACATATAATTTCATAAACTTTTAAAAATATCGTGTTCTGTTAAGAAATTTCATCATTTATTGCGATATATTACTAAAACTAATGACATTGATATAATTAATAGAATCAGGCGTTACTTTGCGGAAATCCATTATATAAAATCTTTTAGAAAAGTTTACCTCCCGCCTCGAGAGGGCGGGAGGTGCTCTTCATACTAGGTACGACACTTCATTTTATTTTATAACGCGGATATTTGCGAAGTAAATTTTTCTAAAAGCTTTTATATAATGACATTGAAATAAAGACGCATAACGTAATTGTAATAGAGAACATTAAATATAAAGTCAATTTAAATATATAACGTCAAATTAAACTTTATATCGAAACCTAATTTTAAAGCGAAGATAACGCATAATTAATTGAAACAGAACTTACATCTGTTATTTATAATACGATCGTTGCTGAAAGATGAAAAAATATGAGGGAGTACGTTACAAGGCAGTCGCGTTGATGCAATGAATATATTGTACCTGTGTCTAAAAACCTCGTGAATTAAACACAGGGCAGCCGTACAAAATGTGGGGTGCAAGCGGGGTAATTCTTACTACCTAAACCTAAATTGTGAAAAACCGGTTTTCCGCAAAAACCGATTTTGCGGTCAATGATCGAAACCGGTTTAGAATTTGAACCGGTTTCCGAGCCCTGCTATATACGTCTCACTGCTGACCACAGGCCTCTTCTCATTTCTGGGCAAGGAAATGTTCGCCGCGCTGCCCCAATGCGTGTTGGCGAACTTCATATATCTTCGAAATATTTTTTTCTTATTTCTCAGACATACAAGTTTCCTCACGATGTTTTCCTTCTCCGCCGAGCACGTGGTAAATCAGCACTTAAAATTGCAATAAACAATTTCATTGGCGCCAGCGGGGATTGAAACCGGGTAGCTCGCGTACTGTGATACTTACAGCGAGCGCTAACTATCTGAGTTCTGAGCTACCACGGCTCTCAATGAAAATGTTATAAAGGAAATAAATAATCAATAAAGGTTTACAAAACAGATTAATTTTATTTATTCGACGACTTTTGCGGCGGACAAAGTAGGTGTATGTGGGTTTATCGTAGGTACCTACTGTTATAATTAGCTAGGTACCTACAATACAACAAGAATGTCACAAACCGTCGCCGCGTCGTGGACACTAAAGTGTAAAACTTTAGGTAAGTACGTCGGTACTAAAAAAAACAGTCTTGGTGGGTCACTTGTCTTGACAAAAACATGTGTTTACATTTAGTGATATTGAGTATATATAAAAAAAAGAAGACAGGTAAGTAGTTTTGAAAACAATTTATAGGTAGGCAAAACTAATTACAATTATTATCTAAACGCGATAAATGCGAAAGTTTGGATGTTGGATAGATGGATGTATGTAACTCAATCACGCCAGAACGGCTGAAGGGATCTTGATGATATTTAACTCAGAGATAGGCTATAGTCTGGAATAACACATATGATACAGTTTTCCAGGTATTACGTTCCTGTGGCATAATTTTCGAGTTACACGCGGGCGAAGCCGCTGATAGCAACCGAATAAATAATAGTACCTAGTACGGACATAAACTGCAACGACTGTTCAAGTAAGCATGCGTCGGCGTCGTGAACTCTTAAGCGATCGCTGCAGAACCACCCGGGGAAAACTAAACTTAATAAAATAAACAATTTATATTAGGTATCTATAAAGCCATAGAGGTATAATATAAAGTGATAACGCAGCGGCTAATAATTTAGTACGAGTTTGTAGGTACTCGTATGTGTACATCGTGTAACTTCGTTTTTGTTCGGAGCAGTTCGGAACGCCGTGCATCTAACTGCTTATCACTGATAATATCTCCGTCGGGTACGATGCCCGGTGAGACAGCGTTCTTATTGGCCACGCCCACCAGTGAGGTCGAGCCCGCAACTTCTACCACCTTAAGGAACAAAATAGATCTATGACACTGCACAGTTTTAAGAATCCTTAATAGACGGTGCTACATGAATGCAGTCTTGTGCAACTTTTAATCTGCTGTGTAATATAACGACCACCTTTACTTAGGGCTTCAGATAAGTGTCGGTATAACCATCTCGTTGACGCCAGACAAAATACCCAGACCGACGAACAGCGGTAAACAACGTCTATGTGCCAAGTTTAATCCAGTAGTGGACTTTTACAGGCTGGTAAATACGGAGAAAGAAAAGTGTATTATATAATAAATATGTTTGACTTCTTGATTTCTTATATTTTATTATAAATGTTGCAGGATTTAAAGGACCTCTTGTGGAATACGACTTTATCGTAGTCGGTGCAGGATCCGCAGGGTGCGTGTTAGCATCACGACTTAGTGACGGCCGTAAAGCTTCGGTTCTTCTCTTGGAGGCTGGTAAAGGAGAATCACTATTCACCGGAGTACCGGCGCTTGCTCCTCTCTTCCAACAAACCGAATATATATGGCCTTATTTGATGGAACACCAACCAGGCGTTTGTATGGGTGAGTTAGTTGTTATTAAAATTAAAATAAAAGAAAGAGAGGTCAATTAATGTATTAGGATAATAATTCGTAACAATAGCAATTAATAACAATACAATAGTAATAATATATAAAATAATTTTGCTTTATAACCTTGGTAAGGCAGTGGCTACTATAATTTTGTTATGGTTGAACAATAACACATAGAATAACACAGAATATAGTTAATAAATGGTGGATAGAAGTTTATTTAGCCATGTTCGAGTAATATGAGGTCTTCACCTCGGTTGTGCTTAGTATGCGACTCCTTTCTATAAAACTAAAAAACTTCAGTAAAAGTAAACAAATTGTACAACAAAAGTATTATCAAAATTCACACAAGTTTGGAGAATACTATGAAACCAAAAATTAAAGTCTCAGATTATATAAATATATATATTATTCTATAAATATATATACACATCACATAGGTAAGAAATAGTAAATACCTTCATTCAAACACTGTCAATTATGTAAATTCGCTGACGACACGTGTCTTATAGCAGCTAACAAGTATTCTAAATGAGCTCACAGAATTTTTTTATAAACGAAAGTACCCAGGCTTAATTAATGTCAATTAACTCAAATGGACTGAACAGTGAACATATACATTTTGTATATGAAAAACTGCGAGCAATATTAGCTAAATTTACCCTCGTTAAAAGTAAAATTCCTTAAGCATCATTCTACACATAATATGTGTAAAGCTTTAGTGGAAACAATTAAGGGCTCAATAGTTATGCAGAACTTGCCAATCTTAACTCGATCCAAATTATAGATTAAAAATTAAATTAATAAAAACAACTGTACAACTGTACTGTAAATAAATAAACTTAAATAATAATAGTAGTACCACGTACATAAGTTTTTAGACGTGGTAGAGCCATGCTGCAGCTATATTAGTAGTATAGTTGTAGCACTAATGGGTCGGCTCGATCGGGGAAGGACCACGCTCTCACAGAATACCAACGTAAAATAGCAGCTTTACGCTGCTGTGTTTCGTATGGTGAGTGTATAGAACCGGAGACCCTTTTTACTGGAAATGAGGCATTCCATCTTAGTCCTCACGGGCGACAACGCATCTGCATTTTGATTTTTAATAGAGGATAGATGTAGATGTCTATGGGCCGCAGCAACCACTTACCATCAGGTGCACTGTGTGCTCGTTTGTCACCCTCATCCTATAAAAAAAAGCGTGTTAGTCGAGAACAGTGATCGAGTAGTATAGAGTAGAGTAGTAGTAGTAGAGAGAAAAGGTACTATTATTACGAATTATTTTATGAACACATGTGATGGAAATAGAATATTTACACGTAATATATAACACATATAAATGTGGACTATGTATTTTAAAAGGAAACCTATTGACTTTTCGATTGATACTGTGGTCATGTTCACACAATATATTTGTTTTGTCGAGATGATGGTGGTAGCGCTGTAGTATTAATAAATTCTATATGTATGGAAAAACAATACTAATATTAAAAATATAGGTGTACTCGTATATTGGTTTAGTCCAAAAAAGAAAACCATCAAAATCTAGATCCCGTAGGTGGAGCTGTGGACGAGTAATCAATAGCCGGATCCACACCGGACGATCCAAAATGGATCGGCGATCCCGCGATCCACGATCCAAGATCGTGATGCGTGGAGCGTGGATCGTTCTAAGTCGATCCAACAGCAATCTTTTGCCTGACTGATTCTTAATCCTGACTGGCTGCTAATCCTGACTGGCTGCTAATCCTGACTGGCTGCTCCAAAGTGCTCCTGCCGATCCATACTGAATCGGTTGAATTTTGTCTGGCTATGGAGTCACACGTGCAACGACGGCGACGAATAGCCGTAGCAGCAGCAAGCTACATTTTACTTGTATATTTACGGCAAAACTTATTAAAACGAAAAAGACAGTATTGGGTTAAAACAATTTTTAAAAACCGGTTGGAATATGGGACTCGACTTTACAAAGAGTTAATTGATGATGGAGCTGAAGCTAATTTTGCAAGAATGACTGCAAATCAATTTGACTTATTGTGTTCACTATTGGAGAACAAAACAAGAAAGAATGATACAAACTATCGTGATGCCATAACTGTTAAGGAAAGACTACTAATAACATTGAGATTTTTAGCAAATGGAGATTCTTACGTCAGTCTACAGTATCTTTTCAGTGTCTAAACAGTCAATATCAAAAATTGTTCCTGAGGTTTGTGAAGTAATCATCGACGTTTTGAAGGATTATGTAAAAGTAAGTGAAATTATATATTTAAAAGATTAAACTCTTTATTTCAAACTTAGCTTATACTTAAGAATATATAAAAGTTACATATGTTAATTAAATTGGTGGTGATTGTGGTGACGGAGAAGGCTGCCAAGTTGTCGAAGTAGTAGAAGATGTTGATGGAAGTGGAGTCATTGTTGATTCTGAAGGTCGTTCTGTATGCAATGAAGTTGATGGAAGCTGAGTTGTTGTTGATTCTGAAGGTCGTTCTGTATGCAATGAAGTTGATGGAAGCTAAGTTGTTGTTGATTCTGAAGGTCGTTCTGTATATGATGAAGTTGGAGAGTAATATCCATAATTTTCTGGTCTGTATCTGCCTGTGTCAGCTTCAAAAATAATTTGAGATATGGCATGTTTTAGACAAGTTAATGTTATATGATCATATTTTCGTAGTTCGGTAGCTATGTATTGTCTAAAAGGGGTATACGAATCTGTCTCTAGTTGTTGTGATTGAGCACATTGATGAAGTAGTTGAAATGCTTCCGAAATGGATTCATCTGTTATCATAATATCTTCGGAACCATGTGAAGATGTTTTTTTTTTTCTTCTTTTATTTTGATTCCTTTTTTCGGTTTGAACATTGTGTTGGGTGTTTTGCACATTAGATTGGGCAGCAGGTTGTTCAGATGGTACAGAAGGTTCAGTTGGTATACTCTGATCATTCATATCTTGCATTTGATTATTAACATTCTCAGTTGTGTGATTGTCTACGTTTTCTTGAGCATTTTCATTGATAGCATGTTCTCCGCTACCAGTGGTGCTATTACTTTCTTCCTGTAACAACAACAATAACAAAACATATTAATCATAGTTACACTTTTTTCAGATGCCATCATATGAAGAAGAGTGGCTCGCAGTGTGTCAGGAATTCGACGAAAAATTGAATTTTCCACATGTATTAAGAGCCATGGATGGTAAACATGTCGTTTTGCAAGCGCCTTTTAATAGTGGCAACGACTATGATAACTATAAAGTGTTTCCAAGTATAGTTCTTTTTGCATTAGTAGATGCAAATTATAGGTTCCTTTATGTGAATGTTGGGAGTAAGGGCAGAATATCAGATAGAGGCGTGTTTAAAAGCACAAAGCTATATGAGAAACTTTGCAAGTTCCTTATAAAATTGAAGTGACCTATTTTATACTTGGTGATAAAGCTTTCCAATTAAATGAGTATACATTGAAACCGTATGAAGGTGATCCAGAAAGGGGTTCGAGTGAACGAATATTCAATTACAGATTATCAAGAGCATGTAGAGTTGTAGAAAACGCGTTTGGTGTACTAAGCTCAAGTTACAGAGTTTTGCGTAAACCAATGTATTGGAGCCAAAAAAAGCAATTAAAGTCGTGCTAGCGACAGATAACCTGTATAACTATTTACGAAGTAATTCTAATTTAAGATCACCGGTATCTTTTGAAACAATACAGGGGAATGGAGAAATAGTTCCTGGAAGCTAGCGAACGGAACAGGCACCAACATCACTACTACCGATAGATGCCATACCACGAAGAGCATCACAAAATGCCAAAGATATTCGGTCCCAATTAGCAAGACACTTTATAACAAACGGGGCCATTGTTTGGCAAAATGAGTACCAATAAACTTATATAAATTGTACTGTTTTTATATGTTTTATAAGTTAGCTGCATTAAGAGGAATATAATGTAGTTCAGTTCATTATACTTTAACCAATTAACTATGTATTTTATTTAAAACTATCCTTTCCCTAAGTTCTAAATTTACTTACTTACTTACTTATCTTCACGCACAATCCCTGACGGGGTAGCCAGAGAGAACAGATCGCCAAGTGTCACGATCCTTAAAAACCTCTTTCGCTTCTTTCAGATTCATTATCTTCTTCATGCATGCACGTCGAAGTATCCGAGTACTTTTGACCCTACCCTCTTCGAGCAATTTGCTCACATGGTCTTCGAAAGTTAGTCTCGGTCTACCTCGACACCTTTTAATATTAACTTTCGCGCTATATATTTTCTTCACCATTCGGTCTTCACTCATTCGCTCAACGTGCCCAAACCACCGAAGCACGCCCTTATCAATTTTTGTGATAAGGTCATCTTTCACACCTGCCATATTGCGAATCTCTTCGTTTCGCTTTCGGTCGGCCATGGTAAAGCCGCACATTTTACGAAGAGATCGCATCTCCACTGCATTCAACTTACTTTTATGCTTCTTCTGGCATACCCAGGTTTCGCTGCCATATAACAAAGTCGGTACCAACACTGCGTTATGTATTGCAAGGCGTGCACTCTTCGCTACGCCTTGCCTTTTGACTAACGCAGTCAGGGCACCATTGACTTTGTTCCCGGCAGCGACACGCCTGTCCACATCTAAATCACATCTTCCATCCCGGCTAAAAGCACTCCCCAAGTATACAATTTCATTTACCTGTTCTAGACATTCCTGATTTACCCATATTTCACACTTCGTTCTCTCTTCGTCCCTTTCAAATACCAGAACCTTAGTTTTATTAGCATTCAAACGGAGACCTTTAATTTCACATTCCTCTTTCATACACGTGACTAATGCCTGCAGTTCTGCCTCTGATGGTGCAATAAGCACTGCATCATCAGCATACAGCAGACAATTTACTTTAATGTCACCCAATTTCACACCCAAACAACTATCTTTCAGCTTCTGTAAACAGCTGTCGAGATACAGTATGAACAGCCAAGAAGACATGACACAACCCTGCTTTACGCCCGTTTGGACGTTAAACATGGTTGACAGGTCATGCCCTACCCGCACACAGGCTTTACAGTCACAGTAAAGAGACTGCACAGCCCTTAGCAATTGACTATCCACACCATACACCGGCAACAGTTCCCACATTTTCTTCCTTACAACCTTATCAAATGCTTTCTCAAGATCCACAAAAGCACAGAAAATCTTCTGGTTAGCAGCCAGAAGCTTTTCCGTGATCATGCGGAGAGAAAACATTTGATCCGTGCATCCTCTTCCAGGTCTAAATCCGCATTGTGCCTCCCATAGAAATCTTTCCGATTTCTCTTGCATCCTACGTGTCAAAACCTTCGAGTAAACTTTACTTGCTAAACTGGTCAAGCTGATCGCCCGATAGTACCCGCAGTCAAAATGTGAACCTTTACCTTTATATAAAGGCACAATGACTGCGGATCGCCAATCATCCGGGACATCCCCCGTCCGCCAGCACAAATTGCACAGCAGATGAAACCTGTCCCAGACGCGAGGCCCACCATACTTGACCATTTCAGCAGTAACTCTGTCTAGTCCCGCAGCCTTACCACATTTCAAACTTCGAATCGCACGTTCAATCTCTTTCATACTGATGACCTCAGTGTCATCGAGGTCCGGGTCTGGCGTACCAGTCACGGCGTCATCCCCGGATCCCTCACTAAGATCATCACAGGCATACATTTCTCTATAAAATTCGCTCCATCGCTGCATGACGTCCGATTTTTCTGAGAGGACGTCATTAGTTCTCGAAAACACTTTGTTCATTCTTAAGGCCGTCGCACCACTTCGGGCCCTTCCAACCTCTTTCCAGAAGAGTTTGGAGTTCTCCTTAAAGTTGTGCGACAACCTTTCGTCCGCTTCCATTCTACACCTTTCACGCACTTCCTCAATCAGTGCTTTCGTGTGAACTTTCTGCAGCCTATATCTTTCTTTCATCTTCTCTCTCATATCCTTATCATTACTAGAGGCCAAGTAGTCTAACCATGCTTTCTTCTTCTTCTTTACAGCTTCTTTCACTTCATCATTCCACCATGCATCTCTTCTTTTACTACTGCCTCTTTTTATTGTTCCACACACTTCTTCCGCTGCACTTCCATTCCATCCCTAAGGTTCTGCCATGTTCTTTCTACACATTCTTTTCACAGCCTACCCTCGCATGATATTTGTCCCTAGTATCCGCTTCCTGAAGCTTCCAGCTTCGGATGCGACAGACCGACTGTGGTTCTGTTACTGCCGTCCGGTAGCGCCAACCCGCGAACAGACCCCTAAATCTAGTAATCACTAGATAGTGATCCGTTCCCAGGTCAGCACCCCTGAACACTCGCGTATCCATCACCTGTTTTCGCAGTCGGTCATCCACCAGGAACAAATCGATCATACTTCTCTCATTCTTTCGTTCTCTAGTATACATATGGATTTTCTTGTGATTAAACATAGTGTTTGTCACAAGAAGACCCTTTTCCTTGCACACCGCCAGTATAAGCTTGCCAGCATCATTAACCCTTTTATCGCCAAACTTTCCAAGTACCTACTCGTACCCTGGTCGAGCGGTACCAACCCATCCATTCAAATCACCACATACAACAATTCTTTCGTTTCCCCTAGCCAAATCTAGAACTTCTCTTACATTCTCCCAAAACTCCTCCAGGTCAGCCCTGGACGACGAAGCTACCGGTGCATAAACAGCCAAAAGGAATAACTTCGTCAGTCCCAATTTAAAGCGAACCCAGAGAAGTCTTGAGTTCACAACCTTATATTCAGTCATAACATCGACCAACCGAGAAGACAGCAGCACCCCCACTCCCTGGCAGGCGTTCTCGCTCTCCGGGACTCCGGACCATAGAGCTAACGCCCCGCCAGGGAGCTCTTCAGTACCACTGCCCTTCCGTTTGGTCTCCGACATACACACGACATCTAATTCTAAATTATAATTTCTAAATTATAATAAGAAATAAATTTTATTACATAAATACAAATATACTTTATTGACACCAAAAGAAAACATTACCTACACAGATAACACAAAATAATACAAACAAATTTAAGCCACCTGTCATCTGTCAAGTAAATTTTCAATACACTATGAAATTTGATTATTGAATCAAAAATATACCTTTAGATAATTATTAGTAAATACTATCACCGTCGTATATGAAATTGATTTAATAAAAACACCAAAATAATATTTATTTATTCACACTGTTTAATTGTACTGTAACCAAACACGTGTTCTAAATATAAAAATAATACAATATACAACTTGAACATAGTTATCGATTTTCATGCCACCTGCAACTAACTTTACGATGTAGAATTCAGGTGTCGGTGTGCGCGCGCATCGTAAAAATTCACTCTCATCATTTTTCTCCATCGCGGCAAAAGAAGTATAACTTCAAAAATAACTCACCTGTTGGAGTGTATCCCTTGTTGTCCCGGGGTCATTCTTATCCGCCATGAAAGCAAACTCATCGTAAGCAAACCATTTTGATTTGTAAGTATCTTCAGCACCTGAAATAAAGAATAAATTAATATAACCGGCACATATCAATGTCCGTGAAGTCACTCCCCTACGCAAAACTTTTAAACATTTAAGTATACCTTTTTATCACAAACTAAGTTACGTTACTACGTTGTGGAGTTTTAAACAATACATTTTATTATTATTACTAATAAATTAAAATTAAAGCTTCACTAAGAGTGGCAGATTATGTACTGAACTATAATTATAAAACAAAATGAACTATAATTTCTTACCTGATCCGGTAATACGACTCTGTTTTTCTCTGAATCGTTCTCTTCTGTAGCCACCCGACAAAGACTTCATTTTTTTCTTTAGTTCTGTTATTGGAATATTGTTCATTTGCCGACTAATTTTCCGCCAGGCATCTTCTCTTACACCTCTATTTGTGTAATTGGTATCATTAGGATCCCATAAACATTTATTCTCTCTATATAGGGAAATAAAACGGATACATTGCGAATTATCCATAACGGCGGATCACGCGATTCTCACAACCGTCCAGACCGCGCGCGCCAAGCGACTGAGGCCCCTTTGTGCGTGACCAAAAAACCGACAACAAATAGATCGCACGCGTCGAGGAGCGCGCGCTCTCCGCCACGCACATGGATCGCGCGCGGCACGTCTACACTTCACGCTCCGTGGAGCGCGCTCCATGCCGCGCGCGCCTCGGAGCGCTTTGGATTGTCTGGTGTGGATCCGGCTAATAAATTTTATATTTACACTGTAAAAAAATTACGAAGTGAACATAATATTATAAATGCATAATGACAGACATTGGGCTGATACCGAATACTGGTATGGAGCACTAATAATGTTGTTGGTAATAGGAAATTAACGCGACGGCAAAGCCGCGCGAAAAAACTATTTTACTCTTTAGTAGAATGTAACTAAATCAAGCACATCCTTTCATTTTTCAGGCATGAAAAATGAAAGGTGTTATTGGCCAAGGGGTAAGGCCGTCGGTGGCACTAGTGTAGTCAACTACATGATCTACTCCCGTGGATTACCCGAAGACTGGGACAGGATTGCTGCAGACGGCAATTATGGCTGGTATGTATAAATCGTTAGAAAAGGGCAAGCTAAGGTATAGCGGATCTAAGTTGGTGATCAAAAACTTAGTGGCTCCAATCCACACTTATTTTTCATACACTACATATACATATACATCTTATAATATGGGTATTATAAGAAAGCGTTTGATGGTAAGAATACGAAAATTAAATGACATCACTCTAAATCGACATAGTGGACTCCCAAAGATGGCGGACTATGTTATAGGAGAGGGGGCAAACGAGCATGCGGCTCTCCTGATGGTAAGTGAATACCGCCGCCCATGAACAACTACAACACCAGCAGGGCTAGCATGGGAAGGAGACAATTTTATCCCCGGGGAGAAAATGTTTATCACCTCATTTATCCATCCTTCGAGCATGGGCAGTAAACTTAAACCCACATCCAATGAACTAGGATAGAATTGTCCCTTTCAAATGTCAAAAAGCATAATTTTTTATCTTTTATTTGGCTCCATGCTACGGACGGGGGATATATTATGTCTACTCGTTATTTCAAACGGGGATATACTTCCCCCGTTGCCGTGCTTTGGCATAGGGGCAAGATAATTTTATCTCTTCTCAGTGGATATAATCTGGTGATAAAATTTTTGTCCCCAGCCCATGCTAGCCGTGCAGGGGAATTGCAGATGCGTTGCCGGCCTTTTAAAAAGGAGTAGGCTCTTTTCTTGAAGGTCCCTAAGTCGTATTGGTCGTATTCGTTTGTTTTTTTATTTGTTTCGCTGAAACGAATACGAATAAAATGGCGACTGCGTTCAGCTCTTTTAGGAGATGGTGTACTAATGCACGGCTAAACGGTAAGACTAAGCGAGGTCGTGTCTTAACGAATATCGATCTACACCTTGGGCAAATACTAGCGGTGGTAAAAAAAATCAAAATGGCGCAAAACAAGTTGCCGCCATACCAATTTTAAAGATTTATAACTTGGCAAGGGTTAGTGATAGTTTGGTGGTGCTCAAACAAATGGAGGACAGACAAGCATCAACTGCCGGCGATAAAAATTCAAGATAGCGGATCTAAGATGGCGATCAAAAACCAACAATGACGCATTAAATTAAATGAACAGACTTAGAGACATGTCCAGCGATAACTGAAAAATGAAAAATAAATTAATAGTAAGAAAATATTTTTAAAAACAAACTTTTATTTAAATGCTCTAAAAAGAAGAAATTAAATCAAACCCATCAATTTATTACATTACACAATTTATGTGATATAAAAGCTTGTCGCGAGATTTACCTTTAGCATTTAAATGTTTTCTACTATTAATTAAAAGTCAAAATATTTCTATTCAAAATTGACCGATTCGATTTTTACAAAACATTTTTAAAAGCTTATGATCAACTTACAATGTTTTTATGTTTGTTAGGACCAACTCATGCAAATGAATTTTAAAGCAGTTATTAAAAATAAAGCTAAATTTCGCATACATATTTTGGTTTGGATGGTTAGCTAAGTGACTATGCATGGTTAGCTAAGTGACGACATCCTAAATCAAATATGGCGGACCGCCCTAGATGACGGAATTGTAATTTTCTAAATGCTCCCATGATATTGGTATCAAATGAAAGGGTTTCGTGAGAAGAATGCGAAAATAGAATGACATCATTCTAAATCAAATATGGTACACACCCAAAAATACCGTAATCACTTCACCTACCGGTACGAGGCTGCCACTCAAGAACCTTTCTTCCCCATCGGTTGTCGGTTCTTCGAGCTATATGGCCGGCCCACTGCCACTTCAGCTTACTAATTCGTTGGGCTATGTCGGTTACTCAGGTTCTACTGCGAATATACTCATTTCTAAGTTTATCACGCAGAAAAACCCCGAGCATAGCCCTCTCCATAGCTCGCTGAGCGACCTTGAGCTTCCTCATACGGCCTGCAGTGAAGGACCACGTCTCAGATCCGTAGGTCATCACTGGCAACACGCACTGGTTGTACAATTTCGTTTTAAGTTTTTGAGGTATGTCTGACGAGAAGATGTGTCGTAGTTTCCCGAACGCTGCCCAGCCGAGTTGAATCCGTCGATTGACCTCTCGGTCGAAATTGGACTTAGCTACTCGGACTATTTGTCCCAGGTACACATACTCGTCAACAACTTCGAGCTTAGTACTCCCAAAAACTACCGGCATAGGTGTAACATGGACATTAAACATGATCTTTGTTTTGTCCATGTTCATCCTAAGACCTATTCATTGGGAGACACTATTGAGGTCATTGAGTATGGTGCTTAGGTCCTCCAGCGATTCTGCCATAAGGACTATATCGTCGGCAAATCGAAGGTGAGTGATGTACTCGCCATTGATGTTAATACCGTATCCTTTCCAGTCCAGAAACTTGAAAATGTCTTCCAATGCAGCGGTGAAGAGTTTCGGGGATATAACATCACCCTGTCTTACACCTCTCTGCAATTGGATAGGTTTCGTACTCTGGTTCTGTACTCGGATAGCCATCGTAGCTCTACTGTACAAACACTTCAGCACTTCGATATACCGACAACTTGGCACCACTGAAGGGACTGCAGTACCTTCCCAAATTTCGACGGAAAGGCTTTCTCATAGTCCACATATGCCAGACATAGTGGCAAATTGTACTCTTCGGACTTCTGTACAATTTGCCGAAGGGTATGTATGTGGTCTATGGTGCTAACGCCCTTTCGGAAACCGGTTTGTTCGGGAGGCTGGAAGTCGTCAAGTCTGCGCGCGAGACGATATAATACGAATAATGACTCTAGAAAATAGCACGTAGACGGCTCAGAAGGGAAATCGGTCTGTAGTTCTTCAAGAGAACGTTGTCACCTTTCTTGAACAACAAGACCACCGCACTTCTGCTCCACGCCTCCGGTGTAATGCCACCATGGAGGACGGAATTGAAAAGCTTCTGAAGGACTTCAAGTACCGGTCTTCCACCCGCTTTCAGAAGCTCCGCGTAATTCCATCCTCGCCTGGGGCCTTGCCGTTTTTAAGCTGCTGGAGGGCCATTCTAATCTCGCTCAAACTGACATCCGGGATATCTTCGGAATAGTGTCGGATAAGACTCGCTCTTGGATCGTTACTCACACTTGTGTATGGCTCCAACGATGATGTGTACAGCTGCCCATAGAATCTCTCAATTTCACTCAAAATCTTAGGTGCCCCGGAAACGATGCTGCCACACTCGGTCTTCAGCTTCGACAGTTGGCTCTTTCTGGCAGACAGATCTCTGGCAAAGACTTTGGAGCCTTGGTTCCGCTCGATCGTTTCTTCAATACAAGCTGTATTGAAATTGCGTAAGTCCCGCTGCATGCATTTGGAGATCTGTCTGTTCAGTTGCCTGTATGCTGTCAAATCTGTTGAAGAATGTACCTTCATCTCCCGTCTAACAGCCACGAGATTGGGAGTGTGATCGGAGACTTTTTGTGTTCTTCTGCGGCGGGTCTTGCAGAACTTAGCTCCGACCGCATGGACAGTTTCCACGAGCTTGTCATTCATATCGTCCACTTCATTGCAATCTTCTAGGCACCTCTCCAACTTAACGTTTAGGTTCAGTGTGCCTCTAACCATTCGGTGATCGCTACCAGTTTTCACCCTCGCGATCACGGAGACATCACTGAACAGTTGTCGTCTTGTCGTCATAATGAAGTCGATCTCATTTTTTGTGGAACCGTCGGGGCTCGACCAGGTCTACTTCCTGTGGGGCCGCGTCTGGAAGAAAGAGTTCATCATAGTCCCTCTTTCTCCATGAAGTCGGCCAGCTGCTGGCCTCTTGGGTTCCGTTGCCCTATTCCAAATTTCCCTACTTTCAGCTCACCGTTCTCTTGTGCCTCGTTTTGCATTGATGTCTCCCATTAACACCGTATATTGGGTTTTGGAGGAATTCACGGCTCAAGAGATATCCTCATACATTTCCTCCACCTCCTCATCGGGGTGTACCGAGGTTGGTGCGTAAACCTGTATGACCTTCAGCGAATACCGTTTGGTGATTCTGAGTATAAGGTACGCAACCCTCGTCGACACACGCTCAATCTTTACAACGTTGTTAACGAGAGACTTGTGGACGATAAATCCGACACCTCCTTGGGACAGATGGTCGCCCTCCCGGTGATAGAGCAAGTTGCCGGATTCGAGGATTACCGTGTCCTCCCCCTCTCTTCGGACTTCGGATAATCCTATAATATGCCAGCGTAACTTGTCTATCTCTTCTTCCAGCTCCACGATCTTCTCGTCAGTCCTCAGGGTGCGTGCGTTGTCGTCTTAGGTGGCAACCGAATCTCCACCGGAGATTTTTAGCACCCCCTACCCCGCCGTTAACATGGTCACCACCGTAGCCAGGAATAGCGGGGCCGCAGGGGACTGGGGGCCGTTTCTTTGTTACTCTCATCATAGGGGGGCATTTGCCATAGTTGCCACGCTTGGCGAGCGGGTTGGCAACCGCAGTTTTTTTTTAGTTATCAGGAAGATGCTGCTGCCCATCTCCTGCCTGTTTCCCTTTGTCGCCTTTTACGACACCCACGGGCAGATATGGGCTAGTGGATATTATTAACCGCCACTACACGGCAAAGACATGTCAGTATTTAGAGACATGTCAGTAGCGATAACTAAAAAATAAAAAATAAATTATAGTAGTAACATATGTTTAAAAACAAGCTTTTATTTAAGTAAATGCTCTAAAAAGAGGAAAAATCTTTAAATTAAATCAAACCCACCAACTTATTATGTACATTAAACTTTAATATTTTTTTTCAAACAACATATATACGTTTTCACCCTTATGTGCTTGTTATTTTACTGACTCTCTCTACCCTTCAAACTGGAACATGCATGTTGCTTGGTGGCAAAAATGTTTGAAGTGCCAGTTCATCTTTTCATTCTTAGCTAAAGCTTTTCTAAATTCTAAGCACTTAAAATTTCAAATAATCGTATAATTTACCAGAAAATACGACAACAATTCTTTGTATGACTTGATCATACTAGAAAAGTCTAACGTATCGACGAGGCGGAGACAGTTTACATATTATGAAATGCAAAAGAACAAATGTACAGAACTGTTTTAAGTAGATAAGTAATATCAGAAGTTAAAGGAAACAACTACAATGTCGTCTAAATATTAAAAACTTCCCTATTTTCCAGCCTTACGAGTGATTTTTTTTTACAAATTTAATTAAAGAAAAATCATTAAAACCGGTTCAACCTTTTCGAGAAAACGGTGAACATACAAAAACAAACACGCGTCAAACATAGTAACTAACTGTTTTTTAACACGGTCAAAAAATTATATTTGTTATTTCTGACATCATCACTTACAAAAGCCCCATCAAAGAATATGTACCTGTAATACAAAACACAATAGTTAATATCATTTTTTATAGAATAAGGTGACAAACGAGCACACAGTCCACCTGATCAAGTGGATGCTGTGGCCCATAGACATCTACAACTATCCTCGTTTAAGAATCAAAATGCACAAGATACATTGTCGCGGAATGCGGACTAAGATGAAATCCACTCACGAACGAAACACAAACTGCTATTTTATGCTAGTAATCTATGAGAGTGTGGTACTTCCCCGGTCGAGCCGACCCAGTCGTATAAATACTGCATGAGAATTGAAATTGACTATCGGGTGGGTTGTTTAGAAATCTTGTAGAAATAGGTATAAATAGAATAATGTTATTTTTAAAATAATATATCATATATAAAAATAATATATTTATTGAATTTCATTTATTTACATACCATTGGTTCTGAAAATACTTCTTTAAAATTATGTATTTAGTTGTAGATATCGTTAATTATTACACAAGTCATTTTAGGTTTAAAAAAGGCTTGGTAGCAATCACTTCATTCCCAGGAATTTTATTCAGTTTTTATACATCTTTTAATAGTTTTTAAATTTGGCGATAGGCAAACTTTGTATATTTTCTGGACGACTGCCGCTTTGGTCTACTGGTCGTACACGCGACTGCTGATCATGAGGTCTCGGGTTCAAATCCCGCGTCAGGAAAGTAAAAAAAAATTTAAAAAAGTATTCATTTTTTCTGTCAAGTAATTCTTAGTAGCAGCTCGGAGTTAAGAAGTTGGCGGTGTTTGAAGGCAGTGCTTTGAAAAGCATGTAAAGCCGTTGGCCTTGCACCTGATCTCTTTCTGGTCGTGTCAGTTTGCCGTCTCTTCGGACTATGAGAGTAAGGGAATAGAGGGTGCACTTGTGCTGCTGTTGTGCGCAGGTGGCTTGTCTCCATTGAGACTGGCCGCCGTGTCTGAAATTCGGTCTGGTGAACATTATATTATTATTATATTTTCTAGGATTTCAGTCGCAAAAGTGTATACATTGCCTCATGAATAATTATTACAGAGACTCTTTGAGTAGATTTACTTTATTTTGTGTTTATGTGTATTTAATATGATATCGATATTCATCGTTATAGCCTATCAAGTCCACTGCTGCTCATAGGCCTCCCCCATAGACTGCCTCAAATAATGGATATAGCTATAGCTGCCACGCTTGGCTGGCGGATTGGCAACACCAGTTTGGTTTAATTTTGAATTGTTATCAGGAAGATGCTAATGCCCACCTCTTTCGATTTCCCTCCGTAGCCTCTTACGAGATCCACGGGATGATATAAGCTAGTGGATATTCTTAAACCGTCACTACACCTTCAACACAAACACTGCACTACACGGCAAATATCGATATTATCCATTGATAAATGAAAACTAACATCTATTCGGTTCTATTTTTTTATAGAATAAGGGTGACAAAAGAGCACACAGTACACTTGATGGTAAGTGAATGCTGTGGTCCATAGACATATATTATCCTCGATTAAGAATCAAAATGCAGATGTGTTGTCACCTCTGAGGACTGAAATGGAATGCCTCGTTTCCAGTAAAAAGGGTATCCGGTTCTCTACACTCACCATACGAAACATATCAAACATTAAGCTGCTATTTTACGCCGGTATTATGAGAGAGCGTGGTCCTACCCCGGTAGAGCCGACCCATTCTTGCTACAACCATAATATAGCCACAGCGTAGCTCTACCACGTAGAAATTTATACGTGGTAAACCTACGTTGTATGTAATGTATAATGGCTAAATCACGAACACGAATGAATCCGTTCGACCAAAAGACATTTAACTAGTAGTAATAGTATACCTATATATTTAAATCTCTTTGGTTTGATCGTAAAAGCAGCATAGAGCTCGCATAGAATATCAGCTTGAAATAATGAAATTATTTTGCTATTTTGTTTGGCGTTAAAAATTAAAACTGTTTCATTTTCCGCACGTTAAATCAGCGTTTAAATTAAGAGTAGAAAAATATATTATTAAGTAATCCGTTAGCTACCATGTATTTTATGCAAAACATGACTAACGGTAGTGTAAGCGTAAATCTCAGGCGTAATTACAAATATAGACATAAAACGAATTACATAACAAGTTAATAACATAAAAATACCTTTGAACTTTTTCAGTTTTCACGTGACGTGTCTACAAAACGTCGAATTTTGTCGATTGAATGATTTTTGAACTTAACATTTTACAGGTCGTATAAAGAAATATTGCCCTTCTATATGAAATCGGAACGAGCAAATCTCAAAGGTCTATCCGATTCCCACTGGCATGGCAGAAACGGTGAACTTACGGTAGAGGACGTTCCTTTTAGGTAAATATTGTTTTAAGGATGCATTTAAGAAATATTCATATTAAAATTATGTATATAACATTATAATACGTACCATTTATACTAAGCCTTTGTTTCTGGTGGCAATATAAGAGAATTTATCATTCGATTTCGTCCTATGTTGTAGTAAGAGGCGAATGTGGGAAAGGCTCAGATAGATTACTTTATAAATCATCTCGTATACAATATCATATGTTAAATAAAAATATCCAGACTGACGACAGTATGGAGTGATAGATGCAATACTGCAATCGGAAATCCGCCAGCAAAGCAAAGTGATTAAGAGATATATTTCTTATAATGAGAAAGGCGTAAACATATAAAAAAGAAAAAATATTTAATTCAATATTTATTTTAGGTCTAAGCTATCAAAAGCATTCTTAGACGCAGCGAAGTTATTGGGACACCGAAAAGTCGACTACAACAGCCCCGATGGATTTGGATTTAGCTACATTCAGGCTACAATAAATAAAGGCGTTCGTATGAGCAGTGCGAAAGCTTTCCTTCACAAACACAAGAACCGACGCAACCTGCACATCCTACCAAAAAGTAGGGTCACAAAAATATTAATAAACCCCACTACAAAGACTGCATACGGAGTAGAATTTCACAGGGATGGACGCTTGTATCAAATAAAAGCTAAAAAAGAAGTCATCCTATCAGCAGGTCCAATAGAATCGCCTCATTTATTAATGCTCTCGGGCGTGGGACCCCGAAGCCATTTAGCATCCTTAGACATACCGGTAATACACGATTTAAAGGTGGGAGAAACTTTATATGATCACATATCCTTTCCTGGCCTAGCATTCACCTTGAACTCTACGAGATTGACTATCACTGCGAAAAATATAGCAACCATCCAGAATGCCCTGTCGTTAATGCAATATGGCGATGGTCCGATGACGACACTTGCTGGAGTGGAAACTGTGGGTTATATAAAAACCAATATCTCTGAAGAAGTTGGCGACTACCCTGATATTGAAATTATAGGAAGTTGCGCTTCCATTGCAACTGATAATGGACAGCTCGTTGCAAAGGGACTACAATTGGCAAATTGGCTTTACAATGATGTTTATAAACCTATTGAAAACATCGAAAGCTTCACAGTCATCCCAATGTTATTACATCCAAAATCGAGAGGTTATTTGAAACTAAAATCAAAGAATCCTTTTGAGCAACCAGCTTTGTATGGTAACTATTTACAGCATCCGAAGGACACAGCTACGTTAATAGCTTCCATAAGGCACATACAAAAACTGATAAATACGCCCCCTTTTCAAAAATACGGGGCTAAACTATCGACAAGAAAGTTTCCAAATTGTAAGCAAACTTTGTTTGATAGCGATGCTTACTGGGAGTGCGCGATACGGACAATGACGGCGACGCTACATCATCAAATATCAACATGCAAAATGGGGCCGGCATCAGATCCAAGTGCAGTGGTGGACCCGGAACTGAGGGTATACGGCATCAAAAACCTCCGTGTCATCGACAGTAGTGTAATACCAAAAACGACTGCTGCACACACAAACGCTCCGGCTATCATGATTGGAGAAAAAGGTGCATACATGATAAAAAATACATGGGGTTTGGATTAAAATATGGAATATGTTGAATGTTGTCACAGATTAATTGTACCTCTTAGTCTAATTCCCTACTAACATTAAAAATTCTTAATTTTTTATAGAATTAATGGTGACAAACAAGCACACAGTCTACTTGATGGTAAGTAGATACTGAGGCCTATAGATACTTCCATTTATCTACGACTAAGACTTAAATTGCAGACGCTCTGTCACCCCCGAGGAATGAGAAAGAATGCTTTGTTACCAGTAAAAATGGTCTCCGGTTCTCTACATTGACCATACAAAACACAGCACTATTATGCTGCTGTTTCACGCTAATATTTTGTGTGAGCGTGGGTCTTCTCCAGTTGTGCCAACCCATGCGTAATGCAGACATAATTCCTTGCAGCGTGGATTCACCACGTAAAAACAAATTTTGCTTAATAGCATTAAATACTTGATAATGTAGAATTAATTAGCATTTTTGTTAGAGTGATCATCACATATTTCAATTAACAGAACTAAGATGGCAAAGGTAATCTTCTTTTCTATATTAAATAAAATGATAGAGGTTTGCAGCTCATCACAGAAAAACTTCTGGATAGATTTCAATTAGGTTTTCTAAGTTTTATTTCTTAGACACTTAGCCTTTATCCAAAAAAAAATTAATGCAATATCTTCGTTTAATATAAACTGATTAAAGTTTTAAGAAACAATGATTTTTAGAAGCACTACATGTTCAGTGATGCGAAGCAACGCAGATGAACTTGCAGGTATCAGCTAGTAATATATAAAAATGAATATTTGTTTGTTCATATTTTATGAGCTGCCATACCGTTCATCAGATTGTGGTAAAACTTTGTCAACTTATTGCTTGCACTAGTGCGAAGGTTATAGGCATTTTACAATTTATTTACAGTAAGTATGTGGCGCGCATATCGTACCAACAAATTTATATAAAAGTTATATATAATTGAACTTCAATTAATTTATTATCATTTCCAATCAAACAGTAAAACTCTTCACAATTTAAAATATTATATCAAGAATTATTTCTGCCATGGCTGCAACATGCCGGGTGCCAGCTAGTGTAGAATAAATAAATCATTATGTTAAGAATAAGTTATTAGATTATAGTTACTCTTACAGTAAATTCGCAATGTTTCACAGGCATTAAACACCATAATATAATGTTATTTTCTATCTATACAAATAAATAAAATTGAAGTGTCTGTTTGTAATGTTAAAATAACAGCTTTTTACTAAATGAACATGAAAGTATATACGGTACTAATAACAAACAACTGTTTTTAAAATTTTTGTCTGTCTGCTTTTTTCGGCTAATCTCTGAAATGGCTGGATCAATTTTGACGGGACTTTCACTGGCCGATAGCTGATGTTATAAGGAGTAACTTAGGATACTTTTATTTTAGAAAAAGAGTTAAGTTTCGGTGCAAAATAATTAAAACCCATGAAATGGTAGTAAATTCCACACAGGCGAAGTCGTAAGGGACAGCTAGTTGTAACTAAGACAATAACTCATTAGATGAGACACAATGGGCATGAATCCATTGAAAAATTATCTTAACCAAAAAAGGCATAACAAATTTTATGCATTTTTTAGTGAGCAATTTTGTATATTATCATATTATACGTAATTGACCTATCAGTAGCAACCATGAAGTTAATACAAAGGGGAGACGGCATAAGCAACTGTGCACTGTGATTCTAAGTAGGTCCTGACGTCATCATAGTGGGCGTGGCTTTAGTTAGTATACTGTCAGCACTCGTCCTGTGCGCTTATGTGTTGAAAAAATCGCAAATCGGTGTATTTTCGTAGTATTAAGAAGAAAAGGATGAAGTGTTGTGTTTTATTGTGTAAAAACTACTCAGATAGACGCTCTGATGTTATGGTTGGCATCACATTTCATTTGTAAATATTTTTACACCTAATTTATTAAAATAGTTCTAGAAAAATCTTGCGTCGGCTTTCAAATGTAATTAAATATATTCGACACTAGATGGCGACACTTTGTGTCATGTAAACTAAAAATATAAAGGTCCGTAGAGCTCAGTATTGGTAAAATAATCATACGAAGGTGCTGAAATTTGTTTTGCATTCAGACATAAAGAAATTTTAATCGCAAAATATTATTTTTATAGTTTATAATCATTTTGAGAATAGGCCGTATTCTCGTCAAGTAAACCTCATAAAAATGACAAAAAGACAGGGCCCTAATTAGAATTTAATTATTTTTCCCAGTAATCCAACTTTTAATATTAAATGCAGGAAATTGTACTTAGGCTGATTTTTACGAAATGTTTAAGTTATATTTAAGTGACATTCTATATGCAAAGAATCACTTAAATACAAATTAATGTTCTTAGATTGGCATTCAAAAAGTGCATTCAGATGCCTAATTTGGAATAAAATATTTATATTTTAATTGATTTGTAAATAAAATTATATTAATTATAATAATTTGTCTATTATTTCTTCTCCCTCAGAGATATTAAGTAGTATAACCCACACATAAATAATAGTCCAGCCGTTTCTGCGTGAAAAAATTACACATACTTAGTGTGGAATAAGCTCAAGGAGACAGAAACAACACACAAAATTTCACCTTTATAATATTAGTGAGATAAGTAGGATATTTAGTTCCATTTTAAATATCCTACTTAATATTGAACATAGAATATTTAGTTTCAAAGAGACTTTATTTTATAGATAAAATAAATATTTCTTGAAGGTTGACTTTCACGAAATGATAAACATATTTAAATTGTATTTAAGTGATTCTTTGCATATAGAATGTCACTTAAATATAACTTAAACATTTCGTAAAAATCAGCCAAGTACAATTTCCTTCATTTTAATATTGAATGTTGGGTTACTGGGTAAAATAATGGAATTCTAATTGCGGCCCTGTCGTTTTGTTATTTTTTATGAGGTTTACTTGACGATAGATGGCGGCCTGTTACCAAAATTATTATGAAAACTATAAAAATATTATTTTGGCAATGAATTTCTTTGTCTGGATGTATTTGCTTCATGAGATAGACGCTCCGATGCTATGGATGGCATCACATTTCATTTGTAAGTAATTTTACACCTAATTTATTAAAATAGTTCTAGAAAAATCTCTTTGCATCGGCTTTCAAATATAATTAAATATATTCCACACTAGATGGCGACACTTTGTGTCCTGTGAACTAAAAATATAAAGGTACGTAAAGCTCAGTAATGATAAAATAATCATACGAAGGTGCGGAAATTTGTTTTGCATTCAGACATAAAGAAATTTTAATCGCCAAAATATTATTTTATAGTTTATAACATTTTGTGGACATGCCGCCATCTACCGTCAAGGTAGCTAAGCTACATTGCAACATCGATATGGAAAGATTCGAGTAGTTTTACTATTTATCGGTAGATGTAGATAGTGTAGTGGGCGGGGTTTTGCATACCCTCACCCCGCAAATTGTCACGCATTGTTACATAGTGAAATTTAATTACAACGTCTCCTCTTTGTATTTGCTTCATGGTAGCAACTAACAATTTGGATGAAATTTTGTAATCAGATATAATTTTTTACTTTCCAAGTTAATCTGATTATATTGTCATCATTGAGAAAATAATTACTCTTAATCTATACAAATAAATTAAATTCTCTGTCTGTCTGTCTTCGTCTGTTTGTAATATCAAAATTACAGCTTTTTAATAAATGCATATGAAAGTAAATGCGGTACTTATAACTAAAATATTTTTTTTTAAATTTTTGTCCTTCTGTCGGTTTGTTCCGGCTAATCTCCGAAACGGCTTGACCCGTTTTTGACCGGACGTTCACTGGGAGATAGCTGATGTCATAAGGAGTAACTTAGGCTACTTTTATTTTAGAAAAAGAATTAGGGTTCCGTGCAAAAATATAAAAACCCTAACACGTGAACGAAGTCGCGGGGAACAGCTAGTAAAAACTAAAGGCCAACTTCAAACAACTCAACAGAATAAAATAATTTCACATAATGAAGTTGGTGCAAAAACATAAGTACAGAAGAATTAAAGCCCTGATGCACCTGAAAATTAATCATCATCATTATAAACCATCACAAGTTCATAGCTGAACTCAAGCCAAGACCAAGGCCTACCACAAAACATGGTCCCGAATTGCCGGCATTCTTCGACTTCCCGCCTCTCTTACCAGGTCGTCACTAGACCTAGTGGGGACCACCCTACAGTTCACTTACTAATATGTAGCTACCACTTGAGAACATTTCAATCACAAATTATAATATGGACAAATGAAAAATCCCCAACCACAGGTATGACAACGAGTTGTTTTAACTACAGAAAGATGGTTAAGTGTTGGTATTCTTTATCAGTTTGTAAACAGTAATGCCTGACATAATCCTCTTTCTTGTCTCATACTACGTCTTGCACCTATCAATAAGAATACTCAAAAACTAAAATAAAATATTGTTATAAATGTTTAATATAGTTACTAATTAATGATTTCATTAAAGAAACACATTCAGCCTTGGAAAAGGTTGTTTATTTTTTAGTAGGAATGTGAATGATAGTAAAAAAATAAAGGCATAAAAGTGATAATTGGTTAAAATATGGGCATTTAAATCGATGGTCCATATTGGAAAGTTTATCCTGATAATTCTAAGATAAATGATTGTAGTTGAGAAATGACACCAACGCCTAACTTTACTCCCACACGAGATAAGTCACAGAGTATTCTGTAGACACAAGATAATCAAGCTAAGTTTTAGCAACAGATTTTACAGACATGCAGGTATTTGAGAAAACTATGTTTACAAAATACCTGAGACTATTAACGCTTCGTTGGGACCCACAGTATGAATATTGCCCATTTTCTTCTTTAAAAACAACCACAATTTGAAGCACTAAAAACTAGAAACTAACACCCGTTAACAACAATCTATTCAAATCGAACACTAGTTTTAATAAAGCGGCGTAGATAAATAACAAAAGTAAAGACTAAATTCACATACACACAACCTACGATTGTTTTAATTACAATTTTACTACCTACTAATATTATTAGTTGTCAGATCGGTTGTCAAAAATTTCATTCATTTATCTTGCGCGCGCATCTTGTCGAATATAAAAGCAAAAATATTTACTACGATACTTCGTTCAAAGTTCAAATGCCATACATGAAGATTATGGTACTTAATGCTTTATGGCTCCAGTACACGTTGGCCGAGCGCGCTCGGCAGATTTTCGTGGTGCCGTTCAAACGTTGGCGTGTTTCAATCTGCGTTGGTAGCTAGATGATGACACAGAACACTAATACCCTTAGGCGGGGATGATGATGGACGTTAGGGTGATCGCGGCCGCTGTAATATACTTATACTTCAATTTCCTCAGAGTGAACGAAAAAGAAACTACATATACAACAATAATCCAAGTTTGTCCTTTTTAGGGTTCCGACCTCAAAAGGAGAAAAGAAACCCTTATAAGATCTACTAGCTGACCCGTGCCCGCTTCGCTGGGGTTTTTTTTTCAAAATAAAAGATAGCCTAAAAGAAGCCTACATTATCCCTGAGCAACATAAACTCAGAGATAATTTATAATAATATTTATCATTAGGTAGGTACTCTGAAATCGCAACTATACGTGTATTATTTAATGCAGTTAGGCAAGTTGTTACTCTGATTTTATTTTTATGTTGCTCATGTTTGGGGTTTCATATAACTGATTCATTGAGACAATCAATCAGTGAACCTAAATATTTCCTTAGCCGATATTACACGGATCAACCAAATTGAAACAATTCTATTGAAAAGCATTGAACATTGCACATTGAGCGGGTTTACCAATATACACGTAAATCATTTAAATGACATTCAAATTCAATGTTCATAGCGCAATGCAATGTCGCGCCAAATCGTACGTCCGGAAATTTCGTTAATCCGTAAATGAGTTAAATAATAAAAAAAAAGAAAATCGCGGCGTTGGTGAATGCGGCCGTGGATTTCGTGAAGGATAATTAAAGGAGCTTCAAGCACCTTATTAGTAGAATTAATATATAAAATAAATTCTTATTTGAACCAATTGCGAATGACAAAAAGTCAATATAATAATAAACTTCTTAAAACCCATTTTCACGCCACTTGAAAATAATTTTAGAAAATCCATGTGCGCACGCTAAATAGTTGTCGTGCGGTGCTCTGAATGAGTCACCGTTCAATCTTCATGTATAAACGTTTCAATAGCATTGAACAATGACAATATTGCTATCATTGCATTGAAAGCGTTCGGTGAATTTAAACTTTCAATGAGATGGCGCAATCGCATTGAAATGTATTTAGATGTCTCAATGCCATGGAAGCAATGAAATTGATATCAGTATGGAACCGAAATTGATCCGTGTAATATCGGCTTTAGTCCATGTCGCCATCTTGAAACAATTTTATTAAGAGGCTACTCCATGCGAACGGCCTTTTTGACCGGCGCGCCGCTCGCTACAATATAACGTAGTATTATTTTTTCAACATCAATAAACTATTTTATGGAAATACAGCGTACAAAGATAAATGTATTTTAATTTTTTTATTCGGTATATATTAGTTGCATTATATTAGAATTATGTATTTTCATATATTATCTAATTATGAAATTTTATAATTAATTATATATTAAAAATGAAGCATTGAAAATTGTGAGTTTAAAAGATACCTATTCACTATAGGTAAATAAATAGATAGCTCGGCTTTTGTACAAATATTTGGTGCAATAAAAAATAAATAAATAAATAGGATGTTTCGCAGATGTGTTTTTGATTATTGTTAATTTTTACGTGTCACGAATTGAAAAGTAATATACCTACCTACTAATTTTTTAACTGACCACCTTGTAACTTAGCATGCTTATTATTTATGCTGGCAGACATTATCCTCACCCCAATGATTGATGAGAATGAAAATCAATTTTATTTCTACATACGTAATTATATTTATTTATACATAACAACTTTAATAAAGGTAATACAAAAATCAACAAGAAGTATAAGGGTTCAATCTTTCAATTTCAATTGTAAAAAACCGTTACCCCCACACTAAGATTTTCTCCTGTGTCGTGGAGGCAGTTTACAAACATAAATTGCACAAGGACAAATATCCAGACCCGGAACAATTATTTGTAGGCCATAGAAATACTTGTTCCGTGCGGGATTCGAACCCGCGGCCCCCAGCGCAACAGTTGATTGCTAAACCACTGCGCCATGGAGCCGTCGCCGGGTTATAGCTAAAGTGACCATACGTCCCGTTTTGAACGGGACTGTCCCTTTTCTCGGTCACCTGTCCCATTGTCCCCAAACAAAGCTCCGGGACACAAAATTGTCCCGTAACTCGTTGGATGGAAGTATTCAAAGTCAACAATCTTCAACACAATTTTTTTAATCGAATATATTTTATATCTACCTGGTACGAATGCTCCGGTAGAAAGAGTATTTTCTTATTTTGAATAAATTGTGGACGTCTGAAAGAAACACTTACGGTTCCAGAGTTCTAAAGGCGATGTTGTTAACAAAGATAACAATAAAAAAACTTGAGCAGAATTTTATTTTTATTTAAAATCATCACCAACTTTATTAAAGAAAATTTAATCCATTGACAAATGTAATTAATAATTTAAAAAATATGTTGCATTTAATAATTACCGTCTATACCGAATATAATTTTACAGTGAACACTAATTGTATAAAGTTATAGGTTTTAGAGTATAAATAAACCCATGTCCTGTTTTGAGTTAAAAAATAAATGGTCAGTTTAGTCTTTTTAGTTAAATTTAGTTTTAAAAATTTTTAGTTAATAGTAAAAAGTAGGTATATTAGTACCTACTTAGATACTTTTTACCGAATTATAAGTATAGAACACCTTATGTACTCAATTATTTTTTGAAAAAGAAGAAAAAACAAGCAATAAATAATATACTATATTTTAGCAAAAAACTATAACTTAGTAATACTAATTATAACTTAGAACATAAATGAAAAACTCATAACTGACTTTTGGGCCCGACCCAGGATTCCAACCCGGGACCTCATGATCAGCAGTCGCACTACTACAACCACTAGACCAACGAGGCAGTACTATACTTAATAAGATATTGTGGTTGGGTGATAATATTGAATTAGCCTTTTATAGTGTAAATTATAATATTTGTCGAAATTTTAATTATGAATTCGAACCTTACATGCTAATGGTGCTTCATTTTTTTATTTGCATTTACTTCAAAGAAAATACACGCAAAAAGCAGTAAAAAACACAACAAATATATGTATAACTAATACAAAAAATTATACCCAAAACAAACAAATAATACTACCTATAAATAACCTAATAAGTAATATTATTATCGACTGATATGACGTGAGTTGCGCTGGTCGACGCTCTAACGACACGGGCTGCACGTCGAAGAGCTCAGGGCTCACTGACTTCAGCAAGCCCGTGAGCAGTGAATATGCCCAGATTTTAAAATAATTTCTTAATAAAATCAAATTTTGGTCTTTTGAAAAAAACTTTACTAAAGAAATGTTTATTAATAAATTGCCTATCCATTGGTGTAAATCGCAAAATAAAATAATACTTACTTTACGAGGAGATGCATGTTATCAATAATAATTTCACATTTATGTGGTTTCGTTGTAAGGAGAATATATTAATATTCATTCGTTTAAAAAAAAATTGGATATAGCTTTTATGAAATCAAGATTATGTAGAAATATAATGTGTTTTTTATTTGTTGATATATCTTTTAAATAAAAAGTAGATAGCTCCTAAAAACCGCACAAATAACGACTAGCGCGACATTTTGCTCAACCTGCGCCTTAAGCTGACACTACAGTCTACTCCAACGCGTAACTATGAACTGAACACTCGGCCAACGCGTGATCGCTGTTTGCGGCTTGCGCCAAATTTCTTTGATTTGTGCACGGAAAACCGACACTATACGGCTCTTCGGCGAGCGTTGGCCGCAAACGCCAAATATATTTAAAACGGCCAACGTGTACTGGAGCCATTATATGCATTGGGAGTTGGGACATGAGTAAAGAAACCGACCAGAGGGTAGTCTTGGGTAGTTCGCGAACGACCTAGGTGGGAAGAGCGCTCATTTAGGTGAACTATGCGAACTAGTTCGTCGACAATCTCGCTCTTAGTTCTTTATATATTTATTTTCTGGCATCCGCTTCATTATGTAGTGGCGCTGCATGGCTAACCGAAACCGACTGATTTAGTGATTTATTTTTACTCTTACCGCTCTTACCAGAATTTCTTATTAAAGTATATAATTTATAGTTTATGGTTAAAGTTTTATTAGTGCACAATTCACAACAAATAAGAAATATTGCTTGCTCACAATATTAATACTAAAGTGATAGTAAACAGTACATAAATAACAAAAAATCCATATCATCTGGATGATTGGCGGTCCACCACTGTGCGATTTAGAAGAAGCTTTCTCCCTCGCACAAATTCCTTGTGGAATCGATTACCACCAGCGATTTTTCCGGACCGATAGAACTTAGGGACCTTCAAGAAAATAGCCTACTCCTTTTTAAAAGGCCGGCAACGCATCTGCAATTCCCCTGGTTCCCCTGATGTTGCAGTTGTTCATGGGCGGCGGTAGTCACATACCATCAGGTGAGCCGCATGCTCGTTTGCCCCCTCTCCTATAGAAATAAATAAATAAATACCGTATAGTTCTTATTTAGATTTCATGGTTTAGTCAAAATTAAAATTTTACTTTTCTATTTCTACTAATTGTAATAAATACTCGAATACAGTGGACCTCAGTATAACCATACTGAAGTGAATTAGAAAGTATTCGTTATTTCAAGTAATGCGTTATAATGAGACTTGTTATATAGAGGTTAGGTGGAACTACGATTCGTTTTAACAAGGTAAGAAAACTTGTTTATTAACCTCAGCATTATGTAACTAGTGATCTGCCTCTCGTGTACGTGTCTGAACATGTCAAGACACGATTTAATGTGAA